TGCCCGGGGCTTTCGGCTGTTGCCATCATCCCCCCCGCCCCAGGGCTCCTCTCCCGGCTCTGGCTCCAGCTCCTCCTGCTCCGGCACCTCTTCCGCAAAGCCATTCTCCTGCAGGTCCCCGGGCTCCTCCCGGGCTCCGCTATCCTGCCCCAGGGTTTCAGGTCCCGCAGCCTCTCCTGCCTGGGGGTCTTCTCCTCCCAGTGCCTCCCCACCGGCCTCTCCCTTTTCTCCCTCACCGTCTTTTGCTCTGCCTGGGTCCTCCCCTCTCACGGCATCTTCTTCAGCCCCCGATGAAGCCTCTTCTGCTGGGATGGCCTCATGGATGCTCGAGGGCTCCTGCTCCGGGCACGTCTCCTGCTCCGGGCACGTCTCCTGCTCCGGGCACGTCTCCTGCTCCGGGCACGTCTCCTGCTCCGGGCACGTCTCCTGCTCCGGGCACGTCTCCTGCTCCGGGCACGTCTCCTGCTCCGGGCACGTCTCCTGCTCCGGGCACGTCTCCTGCTCCGGGCACGTCTCCTGCTCCGGGCACGTCTCCTGCTCCGGGCACGTCTCCTGCTCCGGGCACGTCTCCTGCTCCGGGCACGTCTCCTGCTCCGGGCACGTCTCCTGCTCCGGGCACGTCTCCTGCTCCGGGCACGTCTCCTGCTCCGGGCACGTCTCCTGCTCCGGGCACGTCTCCTGCTCCGGGCACGTCTCCTGCTCCGGGCACGTCTCCTGCTCCGGGCACGTCTCCTGCTCCGGGCACGTCTCCTGCTCCGGGCACGTCTCCTGCTCCGGGCACGTCTCCTGCTCCGGGCACGTCTCCTGCCCCGGGCATGTCTCCTGCCCCCTTTCCTCCTCTGCAGCCAGATCCGTCTCACACACGGGCATTTCCCGATGCTCAAACTTTTCCTGCTCTCCATCAACAAGGTCCTCTTCCAGGTGACTTTCCACGGGCAAAACCGGGTGGCTTTCCACAGGGACAGCATGAGCAGCTTCAACGTCCCTTTGTGGGGACTCCCCTTCTCGCGCATCCATCCCTTCGCCCTGGAAATCGTCGTCCTCCCCGCAGGGGCTGCAGGGTCCCCTCTCCTCCTCGTCCTCTGAGGGGTGCAACGCCTCCGTGCTTGGGGCATCCGCCTTGTCCTCCCCTTGCTCTGGCTCTTCCCGGCCGGTCCCCATCTGGCCAGGGCCACTCGTGTCCTCTTCCCGGGGCACGGCTTCTGGTTCCCTTGGGCTCAGCACAGTGGGCATCTCCTCCTCCCACGCTCCCATCTCTTCTTGACTCGCCGTGGCACTTAGGGAAGCAGCCATGCCGCAGGGATGCGGTCCCGGTGGGGACGCAGCTCCATCCCGCAGAGTGCTGCTCTCTGCACCCAGCCCCTGCAGCACGGCTTCCCCGGCTCTCTCCTCCGCTTTGGGGGCTTCGCCATCCCCAGCACCCTCGGAGGGGTCTTGCCCTTCCCCAGCCCCTCTGCAAGCCTCTATGGGGGGAATGGGGCTGGGGGCACGGGCGTCCCGGGGGGCCCACGCAGCGCTGAGCGTGGGCTCTTCTTTGGGCTGAGCATCGTCTTTCATTTCCTTGAGAGCATCCTCCAGCGCCTCACTGACCAGCTGGGCTGGGTACCGCAAGCCGTGGGCGGGCGCCGTTCCCGTGGGCTCGGCGCTGGCATCGTGGGTCTCCGCCGCGGCTCCGGGCACAGGATGCTCCTTCCCTTGGCTCATCTTACCCCCGTCTCCCCCCGGCCAGGCAGGCCCCTCTCCCCCTGGACTCCCTGGCTGGGGTGGCACGGGGCTGGGGGGCTCCGGGGAGAGAGGAGGGGCAGATTTGCCCGGCTGCAAGGGGTTTGGTGTGGGGCGGCTGGGGGCACCTATCTCCCTGGCCATGCCGGCAGCCTGCGGTGCTGTGGCATGGAGGACCGAGCTGATTTTCTGGAGCTCCCTGGCGCCGGGGCTCTGGCTTTTGGGTGTCAGGGCATCGCTTTGGGCTTTCGCTGGCTGCCCCCTCCCCTCCGCCGAGGGGCAGATTTGCCCGGCTGCAAGGGGTTTGGTGTGGGGCGGCTGGGGGCACCTATCTCCCTGGCCATGCCGGCAGCCTGCGGTGCTGTGGCATGGAGGACCGAGCTGATTTTCTGGAGCTCCCTGGCGCCGGGGCTCTGGCTTTTGGGTGTCAGGGCATCGCTTTGGGCTTTCGCTGGCTGCCCCCTCCCCTCCGCCCTGGGGAAGATGGAGGGGCTGGCGCGGTGGTCCCCGGGCAGCAGCCCCCTGCCCGGGGCTTGCTCGCCGGTGCCAGCTTGCTGCCGCTGCTCACCTCCAGCTTGAGATCTGTAAAGAGTGAGGGGGAGCGCGGTGAGCGTGCCGAAAAGCCGCTCGTGCAGCTCCCCCATCCCTCCCCTGCCGCCCGGGTGCCTCTCGCTGCCCGCTGACCCCTCTCCTATTTTTAAACAGCCCCTTCACGGCAAGTGGGAAATTCCTTCCTCGAGTGCAGCCGATGCCGATGCCCCCCGGGGGATTCGGCACCATGCGGGGACGATGCTCTGCCTGGCTGCAGCCGCAGTCAGGTCTTGCTGCTGGGGGAAGCGTGCAGGTTTCCTTGTCGGGTTTTTTTTGGAGGAAAAAAGCAATGCTCAGCTGGTAACAACAGCCCGCGGTCCCGCTGGGCACGTGGATCTGCTCCTGCCCTCCCCGTGCAGGGGAGGAATTAAAAAAAGAGGCAAAGAAGCAGATAAGCCCTTATCTGCACCGCGGCGGCTGTGAGCCCCGTGCCAGGAGCCCCCCAGCCGCTGTTCGCACCTTCCTATCGCGGCCGAGCAACCGCTGCCAGGAAAATGCTCGTGTCTATATTCAGCCTCATCCCCCGAACCCCCCCCCCGGGGTGACGCGGCGGCGGTGCCGGGGCTGGTGCCGGTGCTCCCTTACCTCGCAAGCCGTTGGCCAGCTTGTATTCCCCGGCTGGCATTTGCAAGCGGGTGCTTTCTGCTTCCAGCAGCGTCCTGCAAGGAGAGGAGCGGGGTGGGTGCTACGGGGTGGGTGCTATGGGATGGGTGGGGGGGCATCTGCACCACGGTGAGAGCCGAGCTGCTCCCTGTGCACGCCAGCACACCCCGCCGGGCTACGGCGGCTGCTTTGGAGGT